AGAAAAATAAGTCATTCTATTCAGGAGAGTACACATCACTTGAGTGTGGGTAAGATAAAGACTGAAAATCTTTAGGCCTTTGCAATACGATCTTAATATAATTTTCCACAGGTCTTAACAATGGCCCAGGATTATGGGGGACCATTGTAGCTAATTGACAAGGTAGTTAATTCTGTGTTACCCTACAGGGAAATCACAGGACTGCTATAACACTTGCTCTGCCCACTGCATATCAAATGCACTGCTTGAAAGGGAATATCATGGCTTTTCTGTGCTCCTGTTTTGTGTTCATTAAGTATGTGATTTTTAATATAACACTTTTCTATTAAGCACACTGACCTAGGAGCCTTATAATTCAAAAGTTTATAGAAACTGTAAAAAACATATTATGTTAGAAGTCCAAACTCTGGATTCACAAACATGTCTCCGTGACTGTTGTTCCTTGAACTCTCAAATTCCACTACAAACAAATGGAACTCACCTTGTCCTTACAGGGCCTTTGGCAGTTCTGTGCTGCACACACAGCATTCTCATCATCAGATTCCTCGGCTCCTGACCAATCATACTTGGAAGGGATGTCCAGCACTTTTTTCTCTCTTTTCTTCTCAGTACTCTCTTTCACAAGTTCAACTTTGGCGGCGGCAGCCTTTTCCTTCTTTTTCTTTCTCTCTTCTTCTTTTGCTAGTTTCTTGGCCAATTTGTTCAGCTCCTTTGATTTGTCTGCATTTAATTTCAATTTCTTTTTTTTGGGTTTGTCCATTTTCTTTAGCTCCTTGGATTTCTGTTTTCCTTCTCCAAGAAGTTGTTCTACCCTTTCTAGCTTCCGTTTCCGTTTCTTCTCTGAAGAGTCTTTTCCCTTCATTTTTAATGGTTTTTCTTCCATGCTGTCATCCTTCAAAAAATATAAAATTAGAAACAATTTTAAACCAATACATTTTAAAACAATGACAAGTGCTTATATAAAGGACCTAGAAGAAGCAAATTTATAGACACAAAAAGTAGAAGAGAGGTTACTAGGAGGTGGAAGAAGAAATAGACTTGTTTGGGATGACGAAGAAGTTCTAGAAACTAATTGTGGTGACAATTGTATAACACCGTAAATATACATAGTGCAACTGAACTATTCACACAATAAGGGTTAAAACAGTAATCCTGTGTGTGATATACATTATACCACACACAAAAGACCAAAAAAATTGTCATTTTAAAGATACCTAAAAGGCAGATTAATACAAATATGAAAACAACAACAAATATATTAGGTAACTCAAGAGTAGAAAATAATGACAAGCTCTAAATAAGATAATGACTTATTTTCAGCCTACCAGAGGAAAGGAGATCAGTGTTAGCATATATTAATATAGTCTCTTCCATCTCTGTTTAGGATGAAAACATAACTAGAAAGCTAATTGTACTAAATCATGAAAATAAAAATCTTTCTGGTTTTCATTTATCACTACTAAAGTTTTCTATAGTGCCAGGCACAGTGGTGCACACCTACAATCCCAGCTACTCAGGAGGCTGAAGGAGGAGGATCACCAAGTTCAAGGGCAGCCTGTTTAGTAAGACCCTGTCTGAAAATAAAAAATAAAAAGGGCTAGGAGTGAAGTTTATGGTAGAGTGCCTCTGGGAGTTCAATCTGACATATGTCCCCCAATAAGAAGTTTTTAATGCGATAAATTCTTAGTGGTTAAGAAGTCATCAAAAATGTCAGGAAAACATATAAAATTGAATCCATGATCAAATTATAAATGGTATGTAGTGACTTTAGCAAGGGTTAGAAAATATTTATATGACAAAAAAAATGTGCGTATTAACAGAAAAGAATGAAGGAAATGTTAGGAAAAAGAAGTATTTAAAAATATGAACATGATAAATTCTTTCAGAAAAAAATTTGTTAAATTCACTTTTTTTGGAGATTTAAGACCTGAGAATCTTTGACAGGAACCTAAGAATCAGCAGAATTCAAAAGTACATTAGATTATAACTGTCGTAAGTCTATTACACCTTGAACAAGATTATATAACCTCTTAATACTTTGTGTTTCTTTATACGAGCTACAGAGGATGAGATGAGATAATGGATATGAAGAAACTATATCTAATTAGACTACTTTAGATTTGTCTTGCAAACCAAAAACAAACTATAGTAAGCTAAATGTGTCTGTATCAACAATTGGTGACATCATACCATTCAATTACATGGAAATAAGAAAGCTAATAAAACAGAGTAGGAGTCAGAAGCCAGAGTTAGAATCCAAGTCTCTTAATTTTACTCGATGTGTGACCCTAATTTTTCACAGATCCAATCCTTAATTTCTCCATATGAAGAATAGAATAAATATTTGCCCCATTTATCCTGCCTTTGCCTTTGCTTCAGGATTATGGTAAAGATTAAATGACAGTATGGGTATAAAAACACAATACAGTGCTGGAAACAGTGGCTCATGTCTGTAATCCTAACTATTTGGGAGGCTGAGACAAGGAAGATCACGTTTGAGGCCAGTCTGGGCAACTTAGTGAGACCGTATCTCAAAATTAAAAATAAAGGTGGGGGAAGGAGGCCTGGGTTATAGTTCAATGGTAAGTACTTTCCTAGCAATAGCGTGCCCCTGTTTTAATGCCCAGTATGGCAAAAATAAAATTAAAGTATAATAAAAAGTAAAGTGTAAAGTAAAATAAAAACAAAACACCATGAATTAAAAACTACTGTGAGTATAATATATAAATGTAGATTCCTCCCTTCCATCCAATCCAGTTCTACAAGCATTTATCCATGTCCTTGCTTTTTTTATTTTTTTTGCGGTACCGGGGATCTTGTGCTTGTGAGGCAGGCAGCAGCACCACTGAGCTAAATCCCTGGCCCTTCTTGCTTCTTTTAACCACTACCATTTTCCTACCTAACTCTGAGCCTTCCAACAGTGGGAGACTGGGGTATGGAGGTTGTTCTAAACTGATTATTTTCAATTCCCTCACCTGTACTCATTTTTAGCAGAAATAGTCTTTTGTAGAAAATTAAATATTACATAAAACCTCAATAAAAATAAACGTAAAGCAAAATTGCTCTGGCCTAAACAGAAGAGCTGGACAGCCAGATAACTGCCGATTCAGCCATCTCTCTACCAATATGCATGGTACCTCTAAGGAACCAGGACATAAAAACACTATTTAAATTAGCATTAAATCCATACCTCCATGATATGTAGGAATCTATCTTCTGAGGGAGGGTGTGTGGCCTGCAAAATCCGCCATATGTGTTGTGTCTCATCCAGAGACACTTCCAGGAGATCTCCAACCATCATGAGTTCTTCCAGCTGGGCTTTAGCTCCAGGTGACAATTCCAACACTGGAGGTTCCAAACTTCGGGGAACCAAAGGGCTCTTCCGGGGTTGTTTCCTTGGGGTGCTAGTACCTTTCCCAAAAAATATTATAAAACAAACAAAAAAGTGAAAACTGTGGATAAATGTAATGTTTTCAAAGTAAATGTTTAGGGGAATGCCCCCACCAACATCCAGATTCATTACATTAAAAAGTGAAAATAAAGGTTTGGTTTTGTTTTTTGAGATGGGGTTTTGATACTGGGCCCAAGTTGGCCTCAAACTCCTGGGCTCAAGAAATCCTCCTGACTCAGCCTCCTGCATAGGTGCATGCCATCACATCCTTGAAAGTAAAAAATGAAATGAAAAATACAGAACAAAAAGATCTAGAATTCCAAGGCCCACTTTAAAAAACTGGTTTAGAGTTGAAATTTGGTTCTTTTTCTTGACTATTGCAGAATCTCTTAACCCATGTTCTCTCCATTTTGGACTATACCAAAAAATTAAGCAGTTAGCTACCCTATAAAAATAAATGGTTAACTTTCTAATGAACAGACATTAATATGATACTCAATAAAATCCTAAATTTTATTATAGAGAAAAATACTCTCCATCTTTCAGAGTTGTGTCCCAAAACAGGGTGAGTTATTTTCACTGGGAAAAAGAAAAGTGAACATCATGGAGAAATCATCCATATAAAAAGGAAGAACTTTCTAACAATTACAGCTATCCAAATTCAAAATGAATATTCTTAAAAAGCAGCAAGGGGCAATCCATTTTCCGGTCCCCCTTCTTTCTCTCTTAGACAGAAGCTATCTTTCTCTCAATAAATTCTTCCTACTCTTAACTTCCAATTGTTCTGAGAATTCATTCTTTCATTTTAGAGAACACGAACTCGAGTTTTGGCTAACTAGCAGGTTTGGGAGTTATATCTATTCCCCCTACATCATTTTGGAGGTCTTTCACCAAGATTATTGGACGGAGTTCTCCTCAACAGAAGAACCTCATGATCTAAGATCTTCATTAGCAGAAGATCTGCATGGACATGGGATTACCACCACCCCCTAAGTCACCTGATGCTCCCTCCAATTATTGTGTGTACCCAATAAATAGTGGCTAGCTCAGAGTCTTTGTCTTTGCCCACTCTGAGGCACTGACCTCTGGGCCCCTCAGGTACTTTGGAAAAAAACAAAAAAAGCAGCAAGTTCTTCAATGACTGATAGTGATTAAATCAAAGGTAAATGATTACCTATCAAGAGATTTTTTTATAGACATGAGAGATATGACTACATGGCCTCTAAAGTTCTTCTAATTATGACTCTGTAATTCTATATAAATTTTCAGGTTATCATCTAGTATTAGAAAATGGAAATTGTGTTTGGCTTTTCCATCCCAAAACAGCATTTTCCAGTTCTCTTAGCACTTCATGGTCAGGCATTGTATTCAATTCAGGGATTCACAGGGATTCTTGATTAATACAATGTTTTTTCTCTCTCTTTTTAGGCTTATCTTCTTCATACTTATTTTTTCACTTCTGTTTTTGAGAGAGTTTGCTATGAAGGCCAGGCTGGACTTGAACTATGAACCCCTGGCTGTCCTCAAACTTGCAATCTTTTGTCAGCCTCCTGAGTGCTGGAATTTCAGGTATGTGCAGCGTGCTCACATTTCTTAAAAAGGGTAATACCTTGAGAACAACTTTTAGAAGCAGAAGAATAAGCATGTTCTGCACAGAATGAAGGTGCTGTCCACATATGAGTTACCACTTCCTCTGACTTGATAGGAATTTCCTCATCACAAAAGAGATTGGGTTCTAGACTACTAGAGGACTTCACACTGGCTGTGTCCTGAAGAAGAAATAGAGAGGTACTGAGAATTAGGAACACTTAACATCCTGTGGGCAAAGACCTAAGTGAAGATTTTCAGTTTAAAGCTTCTAATATAACATGCTAAAACTCTGACATTAACTAAATAAGATTAATAAAATAAAAAATGTCCACCCCCCCAAAAAATAGATAAATGACTCCAATTAATCCACAGAGATAATAAAACTACAAAGAAACTAGTATTAAGTAATTTACCCTTCACAGTGTATAACTATACGAAGTTAAGGAATCTTACCTTTTAAAAGAAAATAAAATAGACTTAAGAGGGGAAGAAAGGGTTAGATATGACATGGTAAGACACAAATCATTTAATCCTTTTGAAAGGTGTTCAAACCTAGAATCTTACCAATTGCTTTTATTTAATACAAGTTAGAGCCTGATACAATATAGAAATTATAAAACTCTGACAAGTCTAATTAGATCTCATGTGATTCTCCATGGAATTTGTTTCCACAGCTTTCCTGTACAGTCTTAAAGATCAAGTGCTACCAGGAGGACAGACATCAGATCGAGCATTTCAACAGCAAATTTAATATAGGGAACCATTCAAATGTGTACTAAAAGGATTAAAAGGGCAAAAAACAATCACTGAGGAAACAGCATGATAGATAATAACTATAGGGAGGAGTTACATCTTTAGGGCTGGTACGGTTATTAGAACCTAAAAGTTTAAGGAAGGGGACCAGCAGAGATGGACTCCAGACCTCTGAGGATAAAATACTGGCCAGTTAGTTCTGTTACTGCTGGTGGAACATAACATGGTTGGTTTCAGGGTTGAGGGAATGGTGAAAATTTGAATTACTTGTCTATGTCAAGGTTTTTTAAAATGTAGTTCAGAGGAAATAAACAGAAGGGGAAAATAAAGTCATTTCTCAATGTTCAGGCCTTTTAATTTTTTCTCATGTCTCTTACTTGTAGAAGAGAAGCATCTGGCAAAGGACCAATGTGTTGGCACACTACCTGGGGGCCAAACTCAGGTGCAATCTGTTTTTGTATGGATTGTGAGCTAAGGATACTTTGTATTTTTAAAAAGAATTATATTTTTTTAAAAAGAAAGAAAGAAAAATGAAGAGAAGCATATAGGGCTGGGGGTATAGCTCAGTGTTACAGTGTTTGCTTAGCATACTCAAGGCCCCGAGTTCAATACTACGAAATTTAAAAAACAATTTTTTTTTAAAGGAAGAGAAGCAGAAGCAGAAGCAACTCAGCAGCAAAGAGAAACCATAAACTATCTAGCCCTTTACAGAAAAAGTTTGGGAGTCCCTGGAGTGGATTCCCAGCCCCAACACCACAAAGCAGAATATAAAAGAGTGGATTAAGAGATGAAAAACAACAGCCTAATGACTAACCCAATACCTGATTTTCTTTATAGGATGCATGACAGGAAAATCTATTGTCACCATGAGGCTATCTTTAACCAAGTTACCATCCAAGAATCTAGAAGTTTCAAAGTAACAGCTATGGAAAGATCTACTTAGGAAAAAAATGTTTTATAAGAGGAATCTGTAAGATACTGCCACTCACTGAGAATTTAATAACAACAGTTTATAATCTTCTTCCTTGTTTAAGAATTAAGGGGGCCAGGGGCCAGGCAGCTCACGCACTCAGCGCCGGACCCCGAGGCTGAGCCTGGCCGCCGCCATGTCCCACCAGACCGGCATCCAAGCAAGTGAAGGTGTTAAAGATATCTTTGCCAGAGCCAGAGAAGAAAAGTACAGACTTCTGAAAATATCGATTGAAAATGAGCAACTTGTGGTTGGATCATGTAGTCAGCCTTCAGGTTCCTGGGATAAGGATCATGATTCCTTCATTTTGTCCCTATTGGAGGACAAGCAGCCATGCTATATATTATTCAGGTTAGATGCTCAGAATGCCCGGGATATGAGTGGATATTCATTGTGTGGTCTCCAGATCATTCTCATGTTCATCAAAAAATGTTGTATGCAGCAACAAGAGCAACTCTGATAAAGGAGTTTGGTTGTGGCCACATTAAAGATGAAGTATTCGGTACAGTAAAGGAAGATGTCTCATTACATGGGTATAAGAAATATTTGCTATCACAGTCTTCCCCTGACTCCCTGACTGCAGCAGAGGAAGAATTACGGCAGATTAAAATTAATGAGGCACAAACTAAAGCGGGTGTGGACACGAAGCATCAAACACTACAAGGAGTAGCATTTCCTATTTCTTGAGAAGCTTTTCAGGCTTTGGAAAAACTGAAAAATAGCTGAACTATGTGCAGTTGGAAACACATATATAAAAAATGAAATTATAATTTTGGCCAACACAACAAATACAGAACTGAAAGATTTGTCAAAGAGGATTCCCAAAGATTCTGCACATTATCATTTCTTTCTGTATAAACATTCCCATGAAGGAGACTACTTAAGAGTCCACAGTTTCTATTTATTCAATGCCTGGATACACATGCAGTATAAGAGAACAGATGCTGTATTCTAGCTGCAAGAGTCCTCTGCTAGAAATTGTAGAAAGACAACTACAGATGGATGTAATCAGAAAGATAGAGACAGACAATGGGGATGAGGTGACTGCTGATTTCCTTTATGAGGAAGTACATCCTAAGCAGCATGCACATAAACAAAGTTTTGCAAAACCAAAAGGTCCTGCAGGAAAAAGAGGGATACGGAGACTTATTAGGGGCCCAGCTGAAACTGAAGCGACTAGTGATTAAAATTGTTATATTTAAAAAAAAAAAAAATTAAGGGGTCTGATACTCTTAAGTGAAATAAATAGGACATGTGTAAAAACAGAATAGTTTCTCTGGTGTGAAAATCTAAAAGTGTAAATAAGGATCAAAATGTATAACTGATATTGTGAAATAGGAAGAAAAGGTCTAAAAGAGTAGGGCAAGTGGGAGGGATTGGGGAAAGAAAAGGGAAAAGAAAAAATATATGAGAAAAAGAAAAAAATGGAAACAAAGTCTTTGTAAATAGGGAAGGGTGGAGCGGGTGAAGGGAGGGCAGGGGAATGGGGAAAAAAATAACCAAGATACGTCATGTAAACGTACAAGATCCAAATGATGAATATAACTATATTGTATACCTAAAATACACCAATAAACTTAATGGAAAAAAAAATAATTACGGGGGCCAGGAATTTAGGTCAATGGCATACTGCCTGCAAGGTCCTGAGTTCAATCCCAGGTACCAAAAAAAAAAAAAAATTAAGGAACTTAAAAAAAGAGTACAAACCCTCTATTTCAGTTGCCAGATACTGCTTCTCACTGGCTAGCACTCTTTTCTGACCCTGCCTCTCTACTCATTTCATTGTAACTCTTTCAAGGACTTTCTGATAAGCTTGCAAAATAAAACAGACCAATGACCAGAAAATGACAGAAATAATGAAAGGTAAAACCAATTTTTTTTTCTAAATACTTTCCTAACATGAAGTTTGAAATGTGAAAAGTACAATACTGACTCAGATATGTTAAAAATGCATTAGGACTAGAGCAATCAGTAAAAAATAAAAAGTATAAGAAGCCAATAAAGGAAGACACTAAAATTTTTTTCAGAAAACCCTAAAGTAAGCAGAAAATAAGCAATAGAAGAATAAAGTAGGGGCGGGGAACTAAGAAAAAAAACCATGGCAAGATGACCTAAATGTAAGCATATCAACCATATCAACACATCATATTGAATATAAATACATAAACATCCTACATTAAAAGACAGAGTTTATTGTTACTTTAAAAACAAAATACAAAAAATAAGACCTAAGTATACAGTATTTATATATTTTATAAATACGAAGACAAACATACAGGACTACAGACCAAAAGGACCCCAACTACATATGTTGTAGAGATGAACTTTAAACATAGACACAGGATAAGAAAAATGGTGAACTTTAAAAAATTTTAAAAAGCTGTGAGAGCTTTTAGTAACTTAAAGGCATAATTTTTCTATTCCCTCTGAGGAAAATTTTTTTAATTTCCTTTTTCAGAAAAACTGTTGCTTCAGATAAACATACAGTAGATATATAAGTACACACAAGGGGTGACTGATATAGTGACTGTTTATATTAAAAAATATAAATAAGAGTTCCAGTTCTGAGAAAATGCTATCACCATAAACTCAAGACATATAACCAACCAGCTTTCTTTCACACTCAGGCTTCAAACATCAGCATTCATAGTTTTTTTTTAAACAAATTCACTGAACACGTATGTATAAACCTACCCATGTAATTACCTTTATGTCATAGCCATATGTCTCCCGAATGTCCTCATCAGAATCTGTTTCTTCATCGTCATAGTCCATTGTTTGTCGAGGAGAAGATGATACACTGCTCACCACGCGGTTAAAAGCAGACTGTTGAAAACTAGATAAATGTCCCTAAATAACAGAAAATTCCAAAATGAAGAGACATACTAAACAAATAGGGGTGATTACTATGTGCTAAGATCAGCAAGATGTAATGAACTTGCAAAGTAGTTAACGGTTGTTTAGCAGTTAGTAGAAACTACTTGACTGTGATGCAAAGATTCACCTGAATGATATTTCCAGGTAATACCTCACTAAAATGACCTAGGTACAAACCTAAAGAGAATGCTGTGGGTGTATACAGAAAAAAGAGGCCACTGATCACATAACTGCAGGCAAATCACTATTGTTTTCCTAGTCAACTGATAAGATAAATTTGATTTACTAATCACACGCTGACAATTACCCCGTGAAACAAAAAAACAATGTAAATCCTAAACTTGCCTGTAAGTCTGGATTGGCAGCTGCTTTTTGGAGTTCTGCACTGATGATTTTTTCAGTTTTTTCTCGTGCTGCCTGTTCAACCATCCGCTGGCTTAGCACGGACAGTTTGGCCAGGGCAGACGACAGTTCATCTGTGGCTAGGGCCTGCCGGGCTCTGTCCTGCCAACTCATGGCACGCTCTGTCAAACACTGAAGGGCCTCTCCTTCAGGCAATCGTACAGGCAACTTCTGAAGGGATACCAGCAGTGACAGTATAGTCTCTAGCCTGGGCCTTCGAGACCGCATACAAAGAGGACAAAGGAATTTAACTTCTTTAGCCTGCCAGCTGGATCCTTTTTTCTGGGAACTTGATTTAGGAAGGGGAACACAGCTGTTATGGAACCAGTCTTTGCAGAGCTCACACTGTAGCATGAAGCCACTAGCTGTCTTACGACAAATACAAAACTTTACTTCTTCTATGCGGTCCACCATGGTCATCTTGGCTAGGTTGGCTGCTCTCAAGGAATGCATGGCTTCAATCTCTTTTTGCTCTCGTTCTTTGAATACTGCCACCTGTATACAATAAACATTTACTTGAAATGAGTCATTGCAATATACCCCAGAACACAAATGCTCAAGACTAAGGGCTCTTTCTCCAATTTGACCTCATGGTAACAAAGCATTGTCCTTTATAAAACACTGGTTGTGAATAATTTCTTAAAGTTTAGGGTGCCCTGCCAGTTTGCATGCAAATATTCCTAACCTGTGAAATGGGTAATGTTCTACCATATTTGACAATTTGTAACACTAGATACTTTGAACTTTTCTGTAGGGTACAGGAGAAAGAGGGCATGACTTAAAATCAAGCAACATGGGTACCAAATTTGGCTCTTACATTTATTATAGACTGTTCATTTGCGACACAACTTTTCTTAACAGGGCATAACACTGGGTTACAACAACCCATCCCATAGTTTTCTACTATATATTTGTACTTTAGGAATAATAGTAGCCAGCTGTGCATCTTAGTAGCTGTGCCTGGGGGATACAGGAAGCAATTTTTGTGTTTATCCACTTGGTAGGATGAATGGCAAGGTGTCTGCACATGTGCAAAAGTGTTAAATTGAAATTTTTACCCACATAATGCTCCATCTAACAGGTTTTGCATGTGTTTATCTGAGCATCATATGGGGTAAAATACACCCAACATGACACTTCTCTAATGTAAACATGTTTTATCATAATAGAATGTGGTTGTGACCACACCTGAGGAAAGCAAAAATCCATCTGTGCATTCACTTACTTGGTAGACTAATGACAAGGTGTGTACAGGAGCTCCAAAGCAGCAACAGGTGAGTTTTACCCATGAAATCCTCATTGTTAAATTGAAATGCATTTAGGATAGTTCTTTTAAAAAGGCTTTCTTTTGATTTTTCTGATAGAAGTAGCCCAATTCAGTACAATGGCACATGAAAAGCCAGATTTGCTAGTTTTGGAGGAGGTCACAAGTGAATCATCAGATTACTCATGCATGGATGAAGATAATAATGACTTTGATGTTGACCATGTGAGCCAAAGTTCTTGTGATAGTAAAATGGAGCAAGAATTGACAGATACAGACACAGAGAATGCAGAGAACTCCTAGATTCAGATTACAAAAAAAAAAAAACAGCGATATGAGTATATATTTGACTAGTAGAAATGGTACAAAATGGTCACGCAACCAAATGTTAACAATCCAATGTTAGAACTAGGTCCAAAAATATAGTGAAAAACTTGGCAGGGTGAAACCTATTGGGCTGAATGCCAGCACTGACATTCAATGTTGGAAACTGTAACAGACAAAATGCTACAAGATGTTATGCAAGAGTCGCACGGAAGACACCGAATCACCCCACTGCAGACAGGCAGGCACCTGGTTCCACACTACAAAGACGCAGAGCACACCAGACCACCAGACCACCAGACCACCAGACCAAGGTACTGAGTCCCACTGCTCCCAGCCCAGAGTTAGGGGCTTCTGAGCCACCGTCCCACTGCTCCTGGTCCAGAGGAAGGGGCTTCCCAGTCACCATCCCTCCCGCTGCTCCCAGCCCATAGGAAAGGGCTTTTGGGCCACCTTCTGTCCCGCTGCTCCCGGCCCAGAGGAAGGGGCTTCCAGGCCACCATGCCTCCCACCGCTCCTGCCCCAGAGGTAGGGGCTTCTGAACCGCCATCCCACTGCTCCTGGTCCAGAGGACGGGGCTTCCCAGCCACCATCCCTCCGGCTGCTCCCAGCCCACAGTAAAGGGCTTTTGGGTCGCCATCCCTACCACTGCTCCTGGCCCCTGTCCCACCTCTCCCAGCTCAGAGAAGGTAATCCGTGCAGGCGCTAACAGCCCCCTGCCCCAGTTGAAATGAGAAAACACGTAAATAAGTCTCAAAACCAGACTTCCAGATCACCTACAGCAACCCCAAAGGGAAATGAGATGGAACACTCTGATAC